GAGGGCACGCGGGTGCCCGCACGGGCCGGGGGCGCGGGGCCGGGCAGTGGGCGTGGGGGGCGGGCCTGGGGCGGGGCCTCGCGGGCGGGGCGGGAGCCCGGGGTCCCTGAAGGTGGGGGCGACCCTGAGGGGGGCGCGGGCCGAAAGTTTTCCCGAGCCCGGGAATGAGCGGCGGGCGCGGGGCATTGGGGCCGGCGGAGCGGCGGACTGCTGCCTGTTGGCACTCATCTCTGAGGATGTCTTCGCGCCCCCTTCCCTCACAGGTGACAGATCTGTCACTGCATCCTGTCCGGGGCGAAAGGTGCGCCTTCCTGAGTGTGGGGTGAACGACGGTGTGTTTGGGAGCCTGAGTCGCTTCTCCTCCCCTCCTGTCCTTCCCTAACGGTGGTCCCGGTGGGGGTTTGTGGAACCATCCCCTAAGCCCCGGGGTCCTGTACAGAGTAAAGGGTGGCTGTTCCCCGGGGTGTTTCACGAGTCCAGTGTCTTGTGAGGTAGATAGGGATCGCGGGCTTTCAGGATCTGAGTGCTTTTATTTGCAATTATCATAAAATACTATACTTGGCCTTGAAGTCTTTCAAAGGTCGCTTGCGAAGAAGGTTCTGTAAATTTAAAGCTCTAAGTAGAAGCGACTAACCAGCCTGGTTAAGCGCTCACGTTGTAATGTTCTAACATTTGAGATCACTTGAGTTGTCCCAAGCTTCATACTTGTGAGATTACTTTATTTGTTGTGTGGGTCCGAGTGGCTCATTTTGGAAAATGGTTATTTTGACTAATCACGACAGTTTGGGTTTAGATTTGTGGAGCCCGGTCTCGTATTAGAGATACTTTTTCATTTCTGGACAATACATTTTAATACATTTAACGAGCTCGTTATTACTATTAAATGTTCTCGTGAGCATTTATTAAGGTTTATGATTCAGTTTCTTTGGCATATAAAGATGTAGATACAGAGCTTATACAGCAGATATCAGGTGCATACCTGGTACACCTCGTTACCATTTTGAACAGACTGTAAAGCTAACATCTGTCACCTGTTCTTTTAGTTTTTGTTATTTCTAAGGAGATTGCTGGTTAGCATTCCACTGCGTGCCAGTGTGGTGACTTAATTGAAGAGGGATGTCAAATGCATGTTTACTTATTTCAACATTTTTGAACTTTTTTTTTTTTTTGGTCATTGTGAATTTCTTATGTATCCTGAGCTAGTTACCCCAAATCTTTTTGAATTCCTAACATAACCTGTGTGGGTTTGGTCGGTTTGTTTTTTCTCTCTCAATTTAATAGACAACTTATGTTTTGAAAGAGCCATGAAGTCAGTTTTTTTTTTTCAGTAAACATTTATTCAGTATTAAAATCTGATTTGTGCCAGCAGGCTCAGTATCAGGTGCTTTCTGGTGTGGAGATTTTGAATTTCTTTCCTTCTTTCTTTTTTTTTTTAAATCTTATGTAACAATTCACTGATTTATATATGTAGAATTGTGCTGTATCACAAGAGCTACATACACTCCTCAGCTGTTGGCCATGGTGCAACAAGCAGCTTTTTGCTAAGTGACCAGAGAGCAACCTATTTGTTATTAGCAGTAGACCAACTGCTCAGTTTCTGGGTTTTGGAAACAATGCTAGTTTTATAGAAAACAGTGAGTGCTGCTTTACTTCTCCTTCTCTGCTAACCCCGTGAATCATCACCTTCAAGTTTGCATTTTAGAAATTGTTCTGCTAGATGGTGAGATTATCCTGAATTCATTAGTACTGTTAACTGTCAAAGGAAATGAACAGTCATTTTGATTTACTGCTGAACACTGGAACAACTGACCGGATATAGTGGTCAAAAATAGTGTTAAAATATAACTTTGAAGATTTGCTCATCTATAGCCAACTGCATCCTTGTCAGCACATGATGCTATAATAGGCATCAAAGTAATTTGATCTGATGTGGTCCTTTGCTTCTCACAACGTGGACAAGCATTATAGCCGTATCAAGTCAGCAGCTGGTGACTGTCCATTTGTGTCCAACACCATGTTGTATGCTGTAGAATGAATGAAAAGGCAATGACAGTCACATGGAAAGCGTTCCACTTGTGTAGACATGGGAGGTGTTCCAGTTGTGTAGATTGAGTGGCCTGGTATACGTAGACATGGGATCGGAAGACTTAATTCTGAATCCTATCTCTGCCGCTTACTTGCTTGGGCAAGTCACTTCAACTCTTTCGAACTCACTTCTCTCATCTACGAAATGGGAGAATTGAATGAGACCCTGCTGAAAAAGTGCTAAGCAGTTTGCTTGGCACATGTGAGACACTCCGAAGATGTTGGTTGCGTGTAAATCTGAAAATCATTTAATCATAGTATCTTTTCTTAAAGTGTGCAAATTAGTCCCATGTAACCAAGAAAATAAATCACTTATTTGGTGCTTAGCCTATGTCACATTGCTGGCTCTCCTCTTTTTCTGGGTATATTTTGCCTTCTGAAGTAGAGTGGAAACTCCCCATGATCCCTGCTACTGCTTAGCAGCCTGCGTGTATCACTTCAGTAACATTTAACACACAGCGCTGTAATAATGGATTTACTTGTCTGTGCTAGACTGTAGGGTTCTTGAGGGCAGACACCGTGTCGTTTGTCCATTTTCAGCCCCTGGTGTATGGTATGGATTCAAATATTTGTTGAATGAATTCGTTGAGTAGATGAGAATCCAGGACCAAGCAACAACCAATAGTTGATTGTATTTCCCAGTATCTTGTAAATGTTAAGTGGTTGATAAATTGATGGCATTAATTATAAACACTGAAGAATGGAGTAAATGATTGCTTGAATCAGTTAAGCATTTCTTGTCACTTTCTGTTTTCTAGGCTAAATGGCACTGGTGATACCAAAAATGATAAGCAAATGTTTTGCGCTCTAATAGGGGAGGAGACCATGTGGACCAGTAATTAGGATATATTGTCATAATCACAACAACAGAGGGATATACAGAGTATAAAAGCAGCAAAGAAAAGGTTAGGACCTTTAGGCTTCAAATAATCAAATCTCTCTGTTGAGCAGCAACAATAACAAAAAAAGAGGGAGGGATTATTGGAAGGATATTGGATTACTTTACTCACTCATTTATTCAATAAATATTTCATTACCTCTTACGTCCTGAGTGCTGGTTTAGATGGTGGGGTTACAAGATAGATATGGTCTTGCCATTGGAAGGGCAGAGTTGCGTCAAAAATCCCTTGAGCCAGAGACATATGTTGTTTGTACTCCCTCCATCTTGAATATTTGCTTGTTTCTTAGAAAAAAAAGCTTTTTTTAAATGTTTATATATTTTTGAGAAAGAGAGAGAGAGAGAGAGAGAGCCAGCGTGAGTGGGGGAGGGGGCAGAGAGAGAGGGAGACACAGAATCTGAAACAGGCTCCAGGCTCTGAGTTGTCAGCACACAGCTAGATGCAGGGCTTAAACTCACAAACTGTGAGACCATGACCAGAGCTGAGGTTGGACACTTAACCGACTGAGCCATCCAGGCACCCCAAATCTTTGCTTGTTTTTATGTGAAGGCTTCCTTCTTATCCATTGCTGTCTACCTTTTCCCACACAGGAAAGATCATTGTTGGGGCGCCTGGGTGGTACAGTCGGTTAAGCTTCCGACTTCAGCTCAGGTCACGATCTCGCGGTCCGTGAGTTCGAGCCCCGCGTCGGGCTCTGGGCTGATGGCTCAGAGCCTGGAGCCTGTTTCCGATTCTGTGTCTCCCTCTCTCTCTGCCCCTCCCCCGTTCATGCTCTGTCTCTCTCTGTCTCAAAAATAAATAAACGTTATAAAAAAAAATTAAAAAAAAAAAAGAAAGATCATTGTTGCTGACAGACCCCAAGTTTTACATCTTACAGCCGTCGGTATTGGAGAGATACTGCCTTTTTCACAATTTCAGGAATAAAAATTTCAGGGAAGGACCTTATTGACCTGGCTTTGGTCAGATGCCCACTTTCAGATCATTCAGTGAAGGCCAGGGAATGGGATCATGATTGACTAACATGACAGCTACTGTAGTGAACATGTGGATGGGGGTGAAACCAAACTCTTAGAAGAGGAAGGGTTGCTGGGAAGACATTTCTTCAGATGTTCTGCATTAAGAGAGAGAGCCCAACACTAAAGAGAGGGTCAAGGAAGGGATATTAGTTACCTATTGCCGTGTCACAAATTACCCCAAAACTTAGTGGCTTAAAACAACATGATTTCAGTGAGTCAGAGATCTAGGAGTTGCTTAGCTTGATGGTTCTGACTCAAGATCTCTCATGAGATTGTAGTCAAGATGTTGACCAGGACTGCAGTCACCTGAAGACTTGTCTGGGACTGTAGGGTCCTCTTCTAAGGCATCTCTCTCTCATGTTGGCAGGATGCCTCACTTCCTTGCCATGGGGACCTCTCCATACTGCTATTTGAATGTCCTTATGATATGACAGCTGGCTTCCCCAGAACAAGCAATTGGAGAAAAAGAACAAGGTGGAGGCAGCAGTATTTATTAAACAGAGTTTTTGAAATATAATTTACA